ATTTTGTTATCAAGTTACTAATTTAAAAAAAAATTGGTATCTTTTACAAATGTATTTTAACATAGATTTTATGTCATAATATAACATGTTTAGACATGTTATGTTATGATGTAAAATCTATTGTCTTTTTTGTACTCATGACTTTTAGAATAGAATAGCATTCAACTTTATTGTTATTGCACGTCACAAGTACAAAGCAACGAAATGCAGTTTGCATCCATACATAAGTGCTTAGCAAGATATAGCAAATGTACAGTAAATTGTGTGACTATGCCTGTAACTGTAAGAATAGAATAGAATAGAATAGAATTCAACTTTGTCAAGGCACGTCACAGTACAAAGCAACGAAATGCAGTTTGCATCCATCCAGAAGTTCTTAGCAAGATATAGCAAATGTACAGTAAATTGTGTGACTATGCCTGTAACTGTAAGTATAGTATAAACAAGATATGCATGTACAGATTATGAACAGGTTATAAACATGAAGGGGTTATAAATAGACTATGTACTTGTAAACATGAGTAGATTTATACAGTTTATACAGTTTGTGTGGTACACAAAGATACATCATCACATGGCACTAACCGCCTGACTCCCAATTGCAGACTGTACTATTTTGCCCAATCCTACATAAAATATGTTTTTCTTTTTGTCACTGTGCTTAGTACTCAACAGCAGTTGAATTTATTTCTGCATTTGTCATGATTCACGTTCTGCTCCACCTGCCACAGGCTCCCTGTCACGTCATTCACTAATTAGGATCATAATCAATCATCTTGTCACTCATCTGTTCTCCACCACCACTGCTCCAGCGCCTGATTATTGAACGGTTCGCCAAGAAAATGTCTAGCACTCTCATGTCACGTCTGGTCTGCCTGGTCACGAYTCTCCTTCTGGTTTTTGGTCCCACGTCTCCTGCCTTGCCCCTGAACGGTACTTTGTTGGATTCTGATCACCTGGTTTTGACCCTCGACTCCTCCAACGGATTTTCGCCCTTTGCACTTGCCCTTGTCGGACTCATCCAGCCATCTGCCTCCCGGTTCCAGGCTTCAGCCTCCGTTCCTCGACCAAGAGATAAGTTTGCTCCTTCCAAACAAAGTCTGCTTTTCGGATCCATGTGTAATGACCCTTGCTTGTGCTAAGGATTTCCCCGAGGTAAATAMACACCTCCATTGCCCGCAACACGGAAGTCGTTGCAAAGTCTTCAGACGTCTTCCCCGCCTGTCTGCGTCACTCAAGGGATATCCCCGGAATCCCCGCTCGTTGAAAAGGTTAGTGACTTTGTTTCACACTTAGTCAAGTTCTCTGTCCATCCAAGTCACTAACCTGGTTCTCTGTTGTTTAGAGCAGTGTTCCCAAACTTTTTATCTTCTGACCCACAAAATATCCATGGTAAAAAGTTGTGACCCCAAATTTTACTGGTCTGAGTACAAGAACTTCATTAA